TGCGGTATGCCTCCTCCAGCTGCACCTGCAGGGCCTGATAGGCGCGCTCGAGCGACGCGTACCGGCTCAGCAGCGCATCGTACGCACTCTGCAGGGTTAAAGGGGTGAAGGCAGTGAAGTGGAATGAGAGGGATGAAGGGGTTGAAGGGGGAAGTGAGAAGGGAAAGGGATATTCGCAATGTATCCTATGCGCCACCGATGCGCAAGCAGAACCAAGCAAGCAACATGATCGAACAAGCACAATTGCAACTGATCATGCACGACGAAACAACAACAGACGCTACCAGCAGCACCTTTGAATCGTGGAGCTGCATGTGCATGTCCTCCATCTCGCGCGCGCGCTGGCCCTGCTCGCGTGTCATCTGCTCGGCCATGAACCGTATCTCCTCCTGCGCCGCTTGCTGCTCGCACAGATGGTGGTGGTGGTGGTGGCGTGATGATGGTGGTGGTGATGCGGTGGAGTTGTGAGTCATCACGTGTACAGTAACGCACGCACGCGAGTACGCGCACATGAGGGAGCATGCATGTGCTGTGTGCCATCCCATTCACACAAGACTGCCACCATTATCGTGCCGAATACCACGAACACCGCGACCAACACCAGCCAGGGCACTCACGTGTTGTTTCTGCGCCTGCACAGCATCCTTCTCCAATGCCATGAGCTCCTCAAGTGCCCGCTGGTGCGTATCCATATCCACACCCCCGCGCACATGCGCAGATGATGATGATGATGGGTCGCCCTGCTCGCGGCGGAGCTGCAGCAGAGAGAGTGTGTGCGTGCGTGCGTGCATATGTGTATATGCATGTGTGTGTGTGTGTGTGTGTGTGTGTGTGTGTGTGTGTGTGTGTGTGTGTGTGTGTGTAATTGTCGCATGAGCGCAGGCGATGGGTGTGATGCTGGGGACGAGGGCAAGTACAACACGGCACGTGGTGGTGCGTGGCAATGCAAAGGTGACAAGCTCAAGCACACAGGCAGAAGCACGCACGTGCAGGCACATGTGGACATCATCGGACCATTTCGACGAGGTTCTCGAGTGCCTCCCTTTCGACAGTGAGGGCGTGGACTTCCTTGCGATAGCCCTCAAGCACGAGCTCAGAGCTCTCCAAATTCAGCTGGCACTCCTTCAGCCGGAGCTGTTCGGAAAAAATGAAGCAGACAGCCAAGGCATGAGAGAGAGTGTGTGAGTGTGTGCATGCGTGTGAGCGTGTGTGTGTGTGTGTGTGTGTGAGTGCGTGCGTGTGTGTGTGTGTGTGTGTGTGTGTGCGTGCGAAAAGAAGTGGATGCGAATGAGGAGGTAGCCGACATGTGACGTAAAGTGTTTCAAAAGAGAGACCACAGATGCATGCATGCTGATATGTGTCGTGTGCGTATCACGTGAAGTGAACCTGTGTCTGTTTGCATTCGCTCCGCAACCGCTCAATCTCCTCGCTGTAGTACTGGGAGTCCTGATCTGACCCGGCATCCACGCTTTGTCCATCTGCAGCAGACACAGCGTCAGCATATGAGAGAGAGTGTGTGTGTGTGCGTGTGTGTGTGGAGAAGGAGGGGAGAGGTGTGTTGGTGATACGATGCCCATGACGACGACGGAAGCAATGATGATGATGATGATGATGATGATGATGATGATGATGATGATGATGATGATGATGATGATGATGATGATGATGATGATGATGATGCTGTTGATGATGATCTTGATGATGATGATGATGCTGTTGATGATGATGATGATCTTGATGACATGGTGCTCATTCACGCTCACAAGTACACACACACACACAACGGACCTCTGCCAGAGGCGAGGGCGTTCTTTTCCCGCTGGAGCCGGTCGCGCTCGTTTTGCAGGATGCGGTTCTCTTCCTTCTCTTCGTCAAGCTGAATGCGCAGGGATCTGCACTCTTGCTGCAGTCTCTCCACTTGTCGGTGCACGTGATCGTCACTAGATGTGCTGGTGCGCACACGCTCACCGCGCTCCCGCGCCAGTGTTCGGTACAGCTGCTCATTCTCCATCAACAGCTGGGCAGAGGATCGAGAGGCACCCTCCTTTCCAGAGCCATCAGTGCCCACCATGCCCCGACCACTCTTCATTGTTGTCGCCATTGTCACCGCAGTGTGCCTTTTGAATGCGTGTGCCTGAATGTGTGTTGATGCGTGTGCTTTGCTCGTGCGATGCAGTCTGCAAGGTCCGTGTGTGTGTGTGTGTGAGTTTCTGTGGGTCTGCTTCGAAGGCCACCAAAGCCTCAATGTGGGGTGGTGGTGGGTGGCGGTACTCGCTCGCCTCCTGTTTGTGCTTCTTGCCGTGCCTGCTGGATGTGTGCTTCTTGCTTCGTTGGCTCACGCAGCGCTTGGTGTCGTGTGCACCTGCTTGTTGCCTCTTCAACGTCGCCGTTTCCGCAGCGACCGAGCAGTTTTTGATAATTATTGAATATCTTCAGGTAAAATTCCGCGGTACCAGCCAGAAAGAGGACAGCACCACCAACCAAGAGAAGCAAGCAAGCAAGCAAGGCAGAGCGGACACAGCACCAGCATCAACTCCAACGGCTGAGCATGTGTGCAGACACCTCGCCCGCGGGAAAGGATGTGCTTGGGTTTGAACCATCGCGTCACATCTCCGGCGATGTCATTGCTGTAAGTCAGAAGTATTTTTGTGTTTGATGAAAGCGATTGTTGTTGTTGTCGTTTAAGTTGTTGTTGTTTAAGTTGTTGTTGTTTAAGTTGTTGTTGTTGTTGTTTAAGTTGTTGTTGTTGTTGTTGTTGTTGTCGTTTGTCGTTGTCAACGTGACGCCGCTGATGTCCAAACACACATACACTTATACTCACCCACAAACACGCACACGCACACGCAAAATGCACATGTGCTCACACACGCACACATGCACACACACACACTCGCTCTTACTTGTGTCAACAGAACTTGGCACGCCGTCGTATGCGATGGCACAGAAAGTATCCCAGGATTGAGGACGCACAACACAAGTCTTTCACTCGCCCATGTATGCATGTGGAAAGGCATGGTGCACGCCCCCATGCTTTCCTTGAATGTATACGCTTGCGTGAAGCTATCTGTTTTGTTTCACGTACATGTGCCCGTCTTTTTCTTTATTGCACACACACACACACACTCACTCACTCACTCAGTCTCACTTGCTCTCTCTCTCTCTCTCTTGGGGTCTCACTGCCCCTGTGCCTTCCCCTGTGCTTCATTCGCCTTGATGCAGTCAAGCGTTTCATCTCCAAGGGCGTACCGCACCACTTGCGACCAAACGTGTGGCGGCTGTCCGCCAGCCGATTTGCGCAAAAGTACAACCGCAAGCACGAGGACGTGCCCATCTTGAATGGATCTGCCCTCTTGCAACAGGCGCGATCCAACCCGCATGCGCTGACCATCGACGAAGACACGCTGATGCAGATCAAGATGGATATGCCTCGCACGTTCCCGGAGCACGCGGAGTTCAAGGAGGGCGCACACATTGTAAGACGGCGCAGGGCTAGATGCAGATGGAGAGTTGTGTGTGTGTGTGTGCGTGTGTGTGTGCGTGCGTGTGTGTGTGTGTGTGTATGTGTGTGTATGTGTGTGTGTGTGTGTGTGCTGAATGTGACTCCGGCAAGGGGTGAGCTGTGATCCGAGCCGCGAGTACAGGAGAACGGGTTTCAAGTGGCTGACATGTGCACTTTCTTCTGACATGCAATTCAACACCAGTACGAGGAGCTTGGACACGTGCTGCGGGTATTTGCACACCTGCACCCTCACATTGGCTATTGTCAGGTCAGTATGCTCCGAACGTGTGTGTGTGTGTGTGCGTGGAAGTGTGTGTGTGTGTGTGTGTGTGTGTAGAAGTGTGTGTGTGTGTGTGTCTCTCTCTCTCTCTCTCTTTCTCTCTCTCTCTCTCTCTTTCTCTCTCTCTCTCTCTCTCTCTCTCTCTCTCTGTGAGTGTGTGTGTAGAAGTGTGCGTCCGTGTGCGTCCGTGTGATTGTGTGAGTGTCTGTGTGGATGCTGTGCGATCACTGAAAGCTGAGCGTGTTCGCAGCACGTGCCACTGCTTATGATATGTGCGTTTGTGCGCGGAACAACAGGCCATGAATTTCCTTGCCGGAGTTCTGTTGTTGACGACGAGAGACGCTGAAGCGACACTCAGCCTTCTCCAATGCATTGTCCTCGTGTACATGCCAGGTGTGTGCTCCTCAAGTGAGCAGTTGGGGGTGTTGGGCGGTGGCAACGCTTTCACGTATTGACGGTGTCCTGCCAATCAGTTGCTGACGCTGTGTCTGACACGTTCGCTCCTGACACTTGTACCGATGCGTGAATTTGCTAATGTTTGCATGTTGTCATGTATGTGTGTGCGTGTGTGTTTTCGTATGTGTGAATGCCGTTACACGCCATCAGATCGCTACACGAGCGAAATGAAAGTACAGGACGATGTCAAGATTCTACAGCGCGCCCTCAAGTGTGTGTGTGTGTGTGTGTGTGTGTGTGTGTGTGTGTGTGTGTGTGTTCATCATGAATGTAGTGAATGCCCGTTCCTCGCTTGGTGTCTATGATGTCACCTCCTCCTGCCCCTCCACATCATCTCACCATCATCCCCCTGCACACATAACTGTCGGCAACAGCACCCCGCGCTATGCGCACGTGCGTTCTGCCCTCGAAGATGCCGGCGTTGACGTGACTTTCTTTGCTGTCAAGTGGTGCGTTGTGTGTGAGTACGTGTGTGTGCGTGTGTGCATGTGTGTGTGTGTGCGTGTGTGTGTGTGTATGTGTGCATGTGTGTGTGTGTGTGTGTCGCAGTTTCTTTTGCCACCCTGGCACTTGCACCTGTCCTCATCACCGCGCCACCACCACCACCACACCAGGCTACTGATGCTGTTTGTTGATGCGCTGCCCTCCGACCAACTCCTGGTCCTCTGGGACCTCTTCTTCCTCTGGGGCAGACGGGTGCGCTGTCATACCGCTGTAACATTCTGCTGCTGCTGCTGCTGCTGCTGTTGTTGTTGTTACTTTGTAGTCGACTGTAGTCTGTCCTCCGTGCATATGCTGCTAATTGCGTTTCTTCCCCCACTCTACACCCACATCAACGCCGATACATTCACACACACATACACCTGACGACCACGATTGTGGTTGGCGCAGGTGTTGCTTCAGGCCGCGTTGTTTCTTCTTCACGAGCACGTGGAGGATCTCCGGGCCCGGCCGGTGAGTGCATGTACGCGCGCCCACACATGCACACAAGCATGCGTAGTTTGCTTCATGTGTTTCAACCCATTTCACAGACACACACACACACACACGCTCACACACACACGCAAGCTCACGCCTTCCTCTTGCATGCATCAGGACGTGAACCACGTGATGGACGTTCTCAAGGACTTGGGCCGAACGCGCGCGCTCACGCCGCAGGCGTTTGCACACGGCATTACGCAACATGGAGGGGGAGTTGTGCCCAAACTTGTGTAGCTGGTGTTATGTTAATCCTTGAGCACCGTGTACGTGCTAAGCGACTAACAGTGCTGTAGTTTATTTGCATGCAAATAGATTGTCAATCAAAAGTCCAAGGAGCCCCAAGGCAATACGTGTATGTGCATGCGAGCAAGCAAGAAGCGTGTTTGCTGTTCTGCCGAAGAAAGCGTCAAGTGACGTTGTGCCAGTCAAGCATGTGTGAGTAAGCGAACGTGTGTGCGTGTGCACGTGCGTGCATGTGTGTGTGTGAGTGTCCGTGTGCGTGTATGAACATGAGTCCCTTCTGTGTGCATGAGCTTGCTGGTCCACTTCAATGCAGCGTGTTGTCCCTGCAGCCACGAGCGCGACAGCGGTGTGAGAACATTGAAAATCAAGCACGTACGTACGAACGTACATGCATACACACACAAACACGCACACACATACGCAAACAGCGCTGTTTAGCGACGATCTGACTGCCCATCTCTCACCAACCAAAAGTATTCGACAACACGCGGGACGTCTTGCCCTTCATCAAACTCGAGATCTGCAATTCACACATGCACATGTGCACACATTTGCACGCCATGGTGGTGGCGGTGACAACAAGCGAAGGTGAGGTGTGGACAGGAACCAAAACAGAGGAAGCACCCGCCAACGCAGGTACACAGGTACAAATGCACACACACACACACACACACACACGCCCGCACATACACACGCACACACACGCGTGCGTACACATGTGCTCGCACCTTCGACCGTGGGCGTGTTTGCAAACCCGGCTGTTTTGACGTGCGAATCCCAGTCTGCGGCCGCACAGAGCTGGCGTATGAGATGCTGGCGGTGCATGGCACGACTTGTCATCTGGTGTCCATTGCTCGTGTCGTGCGTATGCACCGAATAGGAAGCGACACGCAAGCCCCGCTTCCCCACGCGCGAGCGGTGCTGACCTGCTGTTGTTGTTGCTGTCGGTGTTGTTATTGCTGTTTCAGTTGTTGCACAGCTGTTTTCAAGTACACAGCCATTGTGCTTGCGACGATCAAAGCCACCACCACCACCACCGCCGCCACCATCATGTCCATCCTCATCGCCTCGGACAACAGGTGAACAAATGCGAGGTGTTGCTGCCTGCGGCTGTCTTCTTGTTTTCGTGGTCGACTGTGAACTTGAAGCGCCAACTGCGCTGCCACTGCGACGACCACATCCGCTGTTGTCGCTGTTTCTGGTCTGGCTGCTTATTCCTCCACTTGTGCCGCTGCTGTGATTGTGATTGTGATTGTGATCGCTGTTGTCCCAATCCAGGCGCGCCTGCACGAGCACACTCTCCCAGACCATGTCACATGCCTCAGGGCTTGCATCCCACTTGAGCACGGGGTCCAGCCCGGCGCCCGTGTTGTGTGTTGACACCACCGCGCAGATGAAGCGGTACCGGCGGCTGCACGACTGCGACTGCGACAGATTTGGCGACGAGCACAGCAGGAAGGATGGCGTGCAGGGAGAAGTGGACTGCCGCAATGCTGGCCGCACCGATAGTGGTGATGGCGGTGGTGATGGTGCTGGTGATGGTGCTGCTGCTGGTGCTGCTGCTGGTGGTGACGATGGCATCGATGCTGTTGCTATCGATGTTGGTCTTGTTGTTGTTGTTGTTGTTGTTGTTGTTGTTGTTGTTGTTGTTGTTGTTGTTGTTGTTGTTGTTGACGTACCGGGGTGTTGTTGTTGATGTTCCCGAATGGACGGGAGAAAGGACAATGTTGGTGGTGATGATGACGGTGGGCTGGGTGTGATGGGCTGTGGCGATGGGTGGCGTAGCATTTCCAGCGATGCTGCAGATTGATGCCGCGAGAGCGCAGCTGGCGACGACGACGACTGTCGTCGGTGTGCGTACGATGGCGATGGAGAGCAGCGGGACGGTGGGCGGGAAGGGTCCTCGCTCTCAAGCAGGCTGTGCCACGACCGCCAGCCGCCATTCTGCTGTATCAGTTCGCCTGGATCCTCCGCCCACAGCGAGTCGGAGACATCAGGACACGATGCGTTCATATCATCACCAATTTCGTCATCGTCGACG